CAAGCGAAATAAAAAAGGGAGCATGTGTTCAGTTAAAATAATCCACAAACATTCGCAGTCTGAACTGCGAGGGACTCTGTTTCAATGCCATCATTTAAGAATGCTATAGCTTATCGACGGCAAAATTTACTGTGTAGCCTCCTGCACTTTGCCCAACAAGATACTGATTTACTTACTTCAGTCGACTGAATGTCGAGTTTTCCAAGCAGAGATTCAGAGTCGAACCACGAACTTTCAATGGTGAATCTAACGCTCCACTGACTGAACTATCTTGACCTATGTGATTAATGGTGAAAACGCACCTGCGGTTCAGTCTCGAAAGGAATTAAAAACGATACTATGAACAACAGAGTGATTATGGAGAAAATTTACCAACACCGTCGGTTGAATAATACCGCATAGTATTATGGAGAAAAGTCATAAACCACAGTAGATGTTGTGTAGACTATACCAAGGCCTAACAGCGCTAGCTACACACAAGAAACTATGAAATTAAGGTCAACACGGCCTTTCTAGCACGCCCTAGTTGAATGCTGCGAAGTCATAAATCAGATGACTGACTAACTTGTCATAATAATAGAAGTATTCCTCTACTTGCATGAGAGCAGTAATAAACATGCGACATAACATATGAAATGTATATAAACATCAAAAAGCCTCCTGTTTCCTTCGCATCTAATGCTACTCATTCATCTACTTCGCAAGAATAAAACGTGTGACCTGGTCAGGATTCAGTATCAGTCTTTTCGACTATGAGTTCACTGCTCTCCATGCTAAGCCTCCCCTGTAAAGCGGTGACGAATGGTCGCCGTTGAATATTGCGGAACGACGAATAGAGGGCCAGCTTCCAGTCCGTGTTCGATGAAATCATCGATTCAGAATCGAAAAACATTCGGCGTTTCTGTGCTCTTCAGCGCCATTAGCCGAGCCATCATCTAACACTTACTGGCTGTTTCGACTTCCACTTGTCACCAGTACATGTTTCCCAACTCGCACGAGAGTTTACACAATCAACAAAAAAGTACGTCCGTGAAACACAGCAATCATTTCAGCGGGAAGAACGACTGCCCTGAAAAAACAGCAGTGAAATGCCGTATTCCAGATGTGGGCTCGAAAGCACGACCCAAACAGCGGAAAAAAGATTACATCAGATTATGAACGAAAAGTCATAATCGGATCAAGAAAGTGGCCATTAGTGTGCATCACACCGTGTACCTTCTAAACGGCGAATAATGGTATTGTGGCTGCACTATCCGAAAAAGCTTAAACGAGTCTAAAAAATATGCATTTTAGCATTCGAATGTAGATCGTAATATATATAAACGTCATCATAATAATACCATATGACTTGCCTACAGCGAATAAACGTATAGAAGGAAGTCAGTAAAACGAGATCAAAGCTTCAAGTGTAAAACTAGGAGTTCAATCAACGGCAGAAAGTGCACAGCAGATTTTAATCATAAACAGCATTTCTATCAATCTCTGGTCAACAGCTTATCTCATACATTCGATGCTAGTACATCGAAAACTAGTCGAAACTGCACCCGATAATGAGTAATGCTCTCTCTATCACAGACCCTAACTGCTTGGTACAGGTATAATATACAGTTCCATAAAACTACATTAAGACTGACTGACATTTCCATCGGTGTTTTATGATACACAGCCATGGATATTTCTCTTTTCTACTATTTCTTTACTCTCTGTGAAATATTCTAAAAAGGCAATGCTGCTGACAGAGCTCACCGAGGTTAATTCTGAGCGGGTCATGCCGGTCACCGTCGTCCCCTGGAGCTTCATTCGGATAGAATGAAAGACAAACAAACGTTCTGTCAAAAATGTCCGACAAGTGTGGCCCATAACCAAAACCATCCGCCAAGATCGAATGAAATGAAAAACACAAACAACAATGGCCCCAATTATAACTCGAGTCGGACTACAAACAATTCCATCGCACGACTGAAGGATGACCGACTGCCTTCAGCCGCAACGGACCGATACACAAGGAGCAGCAAGCGTCCAATTAAGAAGACCTTCGCTCAGATGAAACGATCAGCTAAAAGACAAATATGGAAATTTGTTGCGCAAAATCGTATTGACACGTTTGGAGATCGAGAGTAGGCAATGATTATCCCCGATAATTATTAAAAAGATGTTGACTGTTGTTGTCAATAGTTGTTGACCATTTAAATCGATTACTGCCCTTCGAAACGACTGTTTAATAGTTTATTGCTTAAATGAAGTCACAGCAGGATATCATTTTTCAACATTGAATTACTAATAATGGACGACAGTGAGATACGATAAGTATAGCAATGCACTGGCAGTTACCACAGTAAAATGGCTGCAACGAAAGTGACCAACTATATTACTTTCAGTATCGTCAGATACTGCTCTCTCACTGTAATGGAGCTCCTGAGGATAAAAGTCTTCCGCTAAACCCTCGTGCGGGAAGCGATGTTCACAAATCTGCATCTGATGCAGTGTAACTGAAGATGGTGTTTTCCATACGGATACTGCTGTCATTACATCCTAATTGATCGACTGCGAGCAAAATTTTAGAGATTCAGTTACCAGATTTGTTTTATGAAATTTTAGATAAGGAGCGTAGAGGCGTCAACTCACACGTCAGAAAAGTAGGATAGGATCGGGCAGAAAGAAAAAAAAGAAAAAACTCGAATTAACTTCGCTGCAAAGCAGTACCCGATAAAAGCGTCATTTAAACAATCGTAAATAATTCCACAAAAACGAGGTATCTAGTAGACACGTCACCTAGACCAAATACAAATTTTTGTGCGCATGCAGAATGAGTGCCTATCACATCACTTCCTAACCAACGGACAAAAATGATGACGGACGTTTCTAATCACAGGCATCACGCAGCTATAATCGGCTGCTCGGTATGAACAGTTGATGCATAGAACTGAGTTTCATTAAAATAACGAATGACGGCATATAATGCGCGTACGTGATTCACAGCTGCTGTCAGGAAGGCCGACAAAGAGCCTCAACCTGAACTACACCAGGAAGAAGAGAACGAAGAGAGAAAGATTGTGGCACCACGTCTCTAAACGACAACGGCTTGGCAACTGGACGGCGACCAGGAGTCTTTCCAAGGAGGATGGAACTAATTTGGGGTCATTTTCAAATAGCTTTAACATATTCTTTCTTTAGCGTTCAGCTTGCGAAAAGTTTCGAATAGCTGACGGGGCCATTTCTTATTTTAAAATTTTTAGACCTTCATACTTCATACTATGTGCATTAACTTTGGGGCCCAAAACATTAAGTAAAGTGAAGACATATTCTCGAATCATTCACTTTTCATGCAGCCAAGCAAAATGAGGCAAACTACTTTCATCGAAAGAATGTTGGTTTGAAGAGACTCGACAAAGTTTAAAGTGTCGCAGAGAAATATACTCTCTACTGTGAGCCACAGTTCTCCAGATGTAGATCATAATTACTGTTTGAACCCGCGATGAGGATATGCACAGAAGAGACTCTCCAGGTGCACAGTTTTTGCTAAACAAGCAGGGAGGACGGCCCAGAGGTAAAAGGTGGAACAGAAAAGATGGCTTGATTATACGGAAGACCTATCACCATCGCGCATCGGGATCCAACTTCTCGAACTTGTCTATTTGGCTGCAGACCCTGGGACCATTGGCAAGGTCTCCTGAAACGGGCTGCATCACCAACCAAAAGAATAGCAGGCTTTGAAAGCAAACTAATATATGAGCTATATACTCTCAGTTGAAGATAATTGGCAAGTCATGGAAAGCCGAACAGTAGTATGAGTGTACTGCGTAAAACAACTTTTGAACAAATTCCATGGAACCCGCAGCGTCATTTACCTTAAATTTCTATATTTGGTCATGTTCATAAATGAAAGACAGATACACATGCAACAGTGAGAAAAACAATATCAAAGACCTCTTTACCA